TAAGCTTTTTAACAGAGTTTTGTGTGTTCAAGATGTCACACATATTATATTGTAAGCACTGGAGGGCTGAGAACAGAGTGGGAAAGAGATTTAGAGGTTACTTTTGATGACCTATACTAGTAAATGCAACTCCAGTCAGGGCAACATAGTGAATATGTTTTTTAGTCGCCCCTCATTGGTCAATTTCTTGCATAATATCATGGAGAAGAGAACTGGGGACATTGGTAACTGTCAACCCAAGCTTACACCTCTTGGAAATTACAAAAATATCAAAGATATTCAAAGTAGCTAATAGTCAGCATTTTCTCTCCTCTGAGGGCCACACTAAGACAACAATCTCCAAACTATCAAAAATACCCTGGCAGAAACAGCTTCCGATGAACACCTCATTTATAAGATAAACAACAAACAGCATGACGTATCTTGGGGCTTGGTCGGAATAAATCAAAAATGTTATGTCCTGAATAGTTTTGTAACAACCTTTATTTAATTCAGGTTTATATCATCTTTATTTGTTGTTTGCTGCCAAACAACACGTGAAGCCCCGAAACCTGCTATTTTTAAAAATAGAACTGTATTTTGAGTTTAATTGTACATTGAGTTTAATTGTACATTAAAGTTTAAAATTGAGATGAAACAACTAGAAAAATCTTGAAGCATAGCATTATATTTTTTACATCATATGGTGAGCCGGAGGGAGGGCTCACCATAAATGGGTTTTGTTTTGACCATGTCCCCTTAGGGGCTCCATTGCTGTTGACATTTTTTTCATTTAATCATTCTTTTATTGTTTCCTTAAAAACAATAAAAGATTATTCATAAACAAGAGACAAAATAAGGATAAAAGTTCTCATTACAGTTCTTAAAGACAGTACACTCAAAGAAGAGCCAAGAAAATGCTTTTATACAGAAAATACCTGTTTGTAGGATCAATCATTTGTTTGGGTCTCACATGAACACACTATATTTGCCAAAGTCAGTTTTGGAGAAATATTTTAATGTCTGTGTTCCTCCCATGGTTTGAAGTTGGTGGAGTTCAGTTGGGAAACGTTATGTACTATCAGCACTTATGCACAAATCAGCATTAAGAAACACTTATCTATCAGGAAAAGTTTACACTTGAAATTTTATTTTTCTGACATTCCTATTCTTGTTTTTATAACATTATGGCTTGTGAGAGAGAATGTGTTTGGTATGGACCTCAAATTCAATTCTGCTATAATTTAATGATGGTATCCCAAATATTCTTTCTGCATTTTATTCATGTTTTGATGTTTCACCCCTCACCCAGATAATAATAAGAGATAGAGAGAGAAGGACATTATCACGACAGTGGGACAGTGACCTGAGCACCGCCCTTAAAAAAAAAATGTTTTTGAATGGTAGATTAAAGCTGCAGTAGCTAACTTTTATAAAAATAACTTTATGTCATATTTGCTGAAACTTTCCCTATCGCTTTGGGAGACAATAAAGTGTTGGGCTTGTTACTCAAAAAGTGTAATTTATTACTCATTACTTGCTTCTCTTTTCAAAAGTAATATTATTAATTTACTTATTACTCCCTCTCAACAGTAATTTACACTATTAGTTATATTATTTTTCTGCTACTCCCCACAAAGGCCCCTATGCCTAAAATTCAGGCATAGGGGCCTAGTTTTGTCTGTTAAGATCAAAATAATGGGAACATTCCCAGTTTCTGAACGTTAGCGTTTTCATCTTCCAAGTTATCTTTCTGCTTGGTGATATGCATGATTACATATATGAATCAAAGGATGTGAGTTGATTGTTGGATTTTAAATCAGTAGGAGGTGACAACCAAAGTAAAGTTGTAACAAAATTTCTTTGGGAGTAACTGTAATGCTATTACCGTCATGTATTAGTAATTAGTTAGAGTACTAAGTGCTGGGGAAAGTAATAATATATAATAATTAAATGTAGTACAAGGAGTTTTTAACTGGTTATGATCAGCCTCAATTTAATACCGATGCCAAGACCATCAGTGAGAAGATTGACTATTTCTGTAATTTTTCTAAATACCAGCGGTCGGATCCCCCTTGAAATCAATGAAACAAAGCCATAGAACCACTACCACTGTTGTCCATAGGGGTTGCCAGGACCAACACAAAATGAAAGTTCATTGTTTCTGCTTTAATGTTGACAGCAAAACTGGAACCACACACAAATTCATACCAGAATACATAAACGTTTTCATGCAACACGGATGCATGTTTTATTTAGAAATACACACAAGTTATCACAAAAACTAAACTCCACAAGTCAATGAGATGAGAATGAAAAAAGACATGAAGTCAACAGGACAAATAATCAGACACCAGCAGTCCTTAGCACAGCCCCCCCCAAACCTGTCCAGCGCCACTGTACTATCCAGACACTGGTACAAGGATTGGGAGTGACCAGACCAAGAAAGGCATGTATGTGGACTAGCAGCAGTATGATAATATGCTGCAAAAAAATCTCCACAGATAACAGATGACTGGGTCCATTACTGAATCCTCAGTATTTATTATTTGGTTAAAACTAGTGAAAACATTGTATCAGTCCTTTGAAATAAAGCAGAAAAAGGTAGAGCACTCAAAACAAATTAACAAAATTCTACACATTCCAATGAGTATGAAACTGATTTGGTTCTCTGTCTGCATTGTTGTGTTCATGCTTACCTCCTGCAACACAAAGCCATTTCCTCCCTAGCAGTGAAGCGTCTGCTCCTTCCAACTCTCATCCGTCTATATTTGGCACTTTCTGCACTGATCTCAGTCTTCTGCCTCCCTGTCTTTTTGTGCCCATGTCTCCCTATCCATATTCCGATCCCTCTATCTATCCTCTTGTCCAGCCCCGTCACACCCCCCAAAAAAAATCACTGTTCATCTGGGGCCAATAGGGAGCTAGGCGGCAGGGTGAGGCACTTCCTCTGTGACAGGAAACTAACAACAAACACCCAGAAACCACAAGCAGGGGAAGGGGGTTAATGAGAAAGGGAAATGTTTAATGGCTCTAACTAACGAGTTCTAGAGGTCAGAAGAAGGTCAGTGCTAAATATTTTTTGTGTAAGTTGATTTTTAAAATAAAACTGACTTTACTTAAGACCAAATATTGTTACTTTTAGTTGTATTCCTCCTTGTCTAAGGTTAATTACAGGTTCATGGTACACTTTTTACATATCACATTAATTTGACCAGAGCCCACAAATAAGAGTTCAGATTAAGTACAATTTATTTCACCAAAAAATTCTTCTAGTGGAAAATGTTTGTTGCACGAACAATTAACATTGCTGTGCATATACGATATTTATTAATCACAACAACAAGATATTTTCCTCTGGGCCATCATGAGAATTGTACTTCTGGCACTGGAAAAAATAGACATAAATAGACATACATTGCAAGATTGCAAGTTCGTTCCACATCTAGTAAACCCGCTTTGAAGTCAAACTAAATACTCACTTGGACTTGAGTCCTGTGACTTGAAAATAATGACACCTTCCCCCAAGCCCAAAGATTAAAAATTATGTTATGTATTTAGGTTCCTTGGGACGCTCTAGTAGCTCACCTATTCATATTGAAAGTTTTCCATGAATCAATTTATTGCCATTCATTTCCTGAATCAGCTAATGTTAACACTTAAGAACTCCTTTGTCCCTCGTGCCATCACACTCTACAACTCCTCACTCGGGGGGAGGAGGAAATAGGGTAAAGAGGACAGAAGGAAAGGATTGGTAGCCACTCACTAT